GATACAGAAATTCAGTGACTCATTGCAATAGAACAGAACAAATTCAGACAGCTCATCTTTTCTCTGGGTTCACATAGCAATTTAACCCCAATTTCTCATCCTGGACTATGAGAAAACCTACTAATGCTCATAATAATTTTCTTGATTGATGGTTGCTTTTCCTACTTCTGTTTCCTTCATATGATTTATTTTCTGTGCAGGTAAAATGCATGATAAGACATTTCTGGAGCTATTTAATGATATTTTCTGTTGTAGACATTATTGAAATGGATGGATTTGATGTGAAGACCTTAGTGACCCTTCTGGGAATCTTCACTCTCTCTTCAGTTCTTCTGATGCATTTTTTCACCTGTTGTTGCACATATTTCTAGCAATGAAATAAAATAAATATCTCATCACAAATTCCTGCAGATCCTCTGGATGTGTTTCTGAAGGCTGACTGCACAAATCTTTTATTTTTCAATCCGTTAAACATGAACTTGTTTGCCCTGTTTCCTGGCATTGCAAACCCACTTTGAATTCCAAATGCTGAAGTAGAAATCACTGCTATTGTTTAAAACATGTAAAAATGTATCATTTATTCAAATATAAGATTTGTATATCATTAAATTTCATGGGAGATGAATCATTAGTCAAAGTGCAGACTGCACTAGAGGTCATATTTAATTTATTTTCAAAGCCTTCATTTGTGCTTTTTGGTCCAGTATGTCATAAGTTATGCAATACACAAAGGTGTCTACTTACGTCTCACAATAATTAAGCTGATTAAGTCATATTATCACTAACAAGAAGCATTAATTCCACTTGAGTGAACACCGCAAACAGAGTCAGTGACATTTCCACCACTTAGATTGAAAACACATTATAGGCAAACTGGGGAGGCAAAAGCTTCACTTAGTCCAGGCCTGTTTCTTCATCTGATCTCTGTGGAGGGGTTGGCAACTGACGTTTTCAGAGCAGTGAAAAAAAGAAAAGATGCAAAGGAGCAGAGAAAATCAGCATGTGACAGTCATGCAGACCATTTTTCGGTGTGGCAAAGGCTAATTTATTATGACAAAAGCTAAAGGATATTTGTTTCTACAAAACATCTGCTGAAATCAAAACGGAAGCAGGAGGAGGGGATCCAGCCGAGAACAGCAGGCTGTTTAAGTATCTCCAGGAAGATACTTAAAACACTGGGGTAATTTGAAAAGGAATCAGGATGGACTGTGACCCAGTCTTGGCTAAATTAAGGTGCGTTTGGTCCAGCGTCATCTTCAAGTGAGAAGAGAACAAAGTCCTAGCCTCTCTGGAGACTGTAATTAACCACTGAGTGCCACAGACTTTGGGCTGGATCCAGAACCTTCCAAGGTCAATGTGCAGATTCCCAGTGGTCCCCATGGATTTTAGCTCTGTCCTGCCAATACCGACCCCTCTGGGGAGCTGAGGCTGCTGGTATTCACGGCTCTACCCAGCCTAACCTGACTGTGTGCTGTGTCCCTGCTAAGGATTCCTGGGGGCTTCACTGGCTGCTACTTGACTCCATGCGTGGCAGATCAGAGTAGAGCTGAGCGCCAGCCCCTCTGGGTCTTGCTCTGCCCTCTTTTCTCTCTAGCTCTGGACTCACTTTGTCTATCTTGTATACCCTTTCAAGTCATCACAGAGACATAAGTAATATTTCCATCCAAAGAGTCTATTCAGCAACAGCAAGAGTACTAAAAAACCACCCTATTTGTGCTGGTGCCCAGAAGCACTATGTACCTGCCTAGCATGGCCTGCAGCATTTTACATCCAGCTGCACCACATGGCAGCTTTCCCGCTGTTGTAGAAGCAAATCTCAAACTGGTTGACAGGTCCCTGAAAGCCAGATTTGCCTCTGGATCTCTGAGAGAGCTGGAATGTATGGGAGGGGCTTATAGAGAGCATTCTATTGAGTGTGTCTCCAAAGCAGCTCTCACGCCCAGTGCATTACCAGACTACAGAAACCAGCTAATGCTCATGAACTGTGCAGGAGTGTAAGCACAGGAAGAGTTGTAAAAATAACTGGTTGCAGGGCAAGACCTTGCATTTTTAATGATGCCCTGTCCCTGTGGGAGATCTTCAAAGGAGATCTCATCTATTAGATGCACGATTCTGACCTGGCGTGCCCTTTTTGAAGAAGGGATAGTTGTGTGGTTGAAGTAGTTTTAGGTAAGTGCTCTCTTCCCTAAAGCAAGTCCTTTTTATCAATACGGTGATTAAGAAGAAAGACTGAAACTGAACTCTTGTCAGTGCAGGGTTTTTTTCAACTCAGCAAAAGGAGATCCTCAGGGAATGTGGGGTGTTGGGGCCTGGGCTGGGTGCTGTGTTGACCCCCAAATCCATTTTGGAAGAGGCCTGACTTGAACATGCAAACCTGAGGATCAGCAAGAGGTACAGATGTCTGTGTGTGCATGTATCTATCTCATCTCCTGGGCTGAGGATAGCCAGGAGTAATGGAGAGGACAGGGAGGAAATTTACCGAGCACCAGTTGAACCTTAGTAGTTGGGGTTAAAAAATGCCAAGAAAATACACTTGGAGAGTGACACACTCATGGGGAGGTGGCAAAAGCTGGCCACTTGGCTGCTCAACCCCATGACTTCCCAAAGAGAGGGATGCAAAGTATCACTATGCCTATGGTTTTGGAGGATCAATTTGGAGATCAATTTCCCTTTGGAGAGTCACATCTGGGAATCTGATAGAGAGCACCAGCTCCATGTGTTTGTTTAGATCCTGGATACCACAAAGTACTGGGTGCTTTTGCTGTGGGACCTAAAACACAGCTAATGGCTTGGCCCTGCTGCAGAGGGGCTGTAGTTGATCCCCTGTGGGCTCACTGGAGAGGGGCTGCACCCCCAGAGAAGATACTGCCAGAGCTAATCCAAGAGAGGGAGATGGTTGCTGCCCCGCAAGGAGTCAGGTCCATTTGGTGCTTTTATTACTTCTTGAGGCTGTAGTTCATTTTATTATATCACTTTACATAATACTCTTGCTTTGAAGCAGTGAAACAGGGTAATGCTGTACAGAGGTCTCGGGCAGTGGCTGTTTGGGGTTTTTCACCCTTAACACCCTGTAGAGACCATTGAAGAATGCACTTGGCAGCATAAAATCCTTCACTCTATCATCCAATTGGGACAGGGAATATTTCATCTACTCACAGTGTGCTGGGTTTGTGTGGTGGGGTTTTTGGTAGTGGGGAAGGGGGCTACAGCTGTGGCCCCTGTGAGAAGCTTCTCAAAGCTCCTCCAGCTCCAAGCTGGACCTTCCTCTGGCCAAGGCCAAGTCAATTAGTGATGGCGGCTGCACCTCTGTGATAATGTATTTAAGAAGGGGAACATGAGAAGGTGTTGGGACGTGTAAAGAGGAATTACCAGGAGGACACTTATGTGAACACTGAGGTCAGTGGAAGGAAGGAGGAAGGGGGGGAGGTGCACTGGAGCAGAAACCCCTGTATCTCATGGTGAGACAGCAGGGCCACCCCCCTGCCACCCATGGAGGTCCCTGGTGGAGCAGAGGCCGATCTGTGGCCTGTGGAGGAGCCCACACCAGGACACGATGCTGCACTTAAGTGGGAGGCCAGGACTCTGGGGGGAGAAGCAGCCTCCACTGTTGTAATTCAGCGCTGGGTGGATTGCAACATGTGGGGGTGACCCACACCAGAGCAGCATGGGAATGGCTGCATCCCGTGGGGCGGACTCATGTTGGAGAAGGTTCATGGAGGACTGTGTCCCATGAGAAGGAAACCACAGGGAGCAGGGGAGAAGAATGTGTGGCATTCACCCCACCTCCCAAGAAGGAAGGAGCAGTGAACTGACTGTAACTCCCATCCCCTGCCCCCTGCGCTGCTGGGGGAGGAGGTAGAGAGATAGTGAGCAGAGCTGAGCCCGGGTGGGGGAAGGAGTTTTGGGGATGTGGTGGCATTTCTCACTGTCTCACTCTTTCTGTTAAGTGTTGTTTTTGTAACTGAAGTGATGTTCTTTTTCTTCCCCTATTGAGTCTGTCTTTTGCCTGTGACCGTAACGAGTGAGCCACTGCTCCCCGTCCTTACCTTGATTCTCAAGCCTTTTGGTTCATTTTCTCCTTCCAAGAGCTGGAGGGAAGGGGTGAGTGAATGGCTGCGTGGTGCTCAATTGCCCTCTGAGCTCAAACCATGACACACAGTCAGGCAGATTTGAGCTGGGACTGAAGTTCCCAGAAGCAACTAGGTCCCTTTTGTGTCCAAAGCACTGTCCTCATGGGTCCCTGACTCCTGTGGGATCCCTTTGAGTGTTCCCTGCCCCTTGCTTCTACTGAAGAACATGTTATCCACTTGTAGGCAAGGACTTTTCTGGGTTGCATTGCAGCCTCCCCAGGCCAGTCACTGAGCAAGCAGGGGGTAAAAGAAGGACAGCCACAGTGTGGCCATCTCAGGACTTCATCCAAAGTTGAATCACTTCCTACGTTAAAACAAGACTCATCCCACCAGCAGATACAGGCTTGCCTATTCCCAGGCAGTTGTTCCCTATGCCTAACACACATCCAGGTTATCTCTGTGACTCCTGAGGCAAGTTGGTGGGTGGTGAGCATCCAGGGGAAAGCCTAAATGAACCATAGAAAGCAATGCACACCGATAAGCCATTACTGCCAGATCCAAACTCTTTCCCCAGTAGTTCGGTGCCCTTTCTGCCCACACCTTGGTGCAAGTCCCTGCAGAGTCTCTGACCATGGAGCCAGCTGTGTGACATCTCCAGCTCATGGCTTCTCATGGCCATGACCCCAAAGTGCTCCTGTGTCCAAGGAAGGAGGCAAGGGGACCTTAATCCCCCAATATCCAGGTGAAGTGAATAAAATGAGCTCTCCTGGGTTGCTCCAGCAACTAAGGAGGACAGAAGGATGGACACACATGCATCCTGGAGCTGAGAGCTCTGCTCCAAGAGCTGAGCAGCAATTCCTGCTGTCATATGTGGCTCAGGGACAGTCAGGGTCCAGGGTGAGCTATTAAAATACAATTTATTGGTACAAATCAAACATCGTGAAACAAACCTGGTTTAGAAAGAGCTGTCATGTTCTGCACAGATGGATTGGAAATGAACTGTCCCGTGACAGCAGCGATTGGCAATGGTGGCAGACAGACCGGATGGACAGGTGTAGGGTAAGCAGGGAAGGGGAGAGACTGTTCTGGGACTGGAATCCTGCCCTTGAGTGCTCCTGACAGACAGCTAAAAGTCCTCAAAGAGAACCAGGGCACAGTGGGAGATGTCTGTCCTATGCAGGTGGGGACCCCAGTGCAGGGGTTCCCCCAGGCATTCATGAGCTGAGGAAAACAGAGATCTGGGTGAGGGCTGGAGGGGAGGGAAGAGGACCCTCACCTGTGTTGGGGCCCCTCCTATGGATGGAAACTCTCTTTTGATCAGATGATGTTGCCTTGGGCTAAAGAGTTACCAGCAGGGCCTCGCCTTGTGTATCTCGCAGCTGCTTAAGCTAACAGCTCTTGTGTGTGCCCTAGCCCATGTTGCTCCTGGAGCAAAGACTGGCTGTGTCCTTGACCCTGGCTGTGCCCTGGACTTTGGGTCTCCAGCCCTGCAAATGGTGGGTCAGGGTTCGAAGGGAAGAACCCATAATGGCTGGGTTTTGCGCTTGCTCCCCAGAGAAGACAGATGCCAGTGGCTGCTCTGGACATGCAACACATTCCACTGGATCTCAGGGACAGAGCAACAGTCACTGCCCCAGCACGTAGGATTGGGCTTGACTGAACCAGGTTTGGTCTGCGTACACTTTCCATGCCTACTGGGACAGAAATACAGGCATGCAGCTCAGTAAATTCACACAGCCAGACAAGACATATAAGTGATAATGTTTACAGAGAGATATGGTCCCTAAGGGGACATGAGAATGGGTAAACTCAAGGCAGATTTTCTTAAATCTGGTCATATGGACCCCCAACAGCACCTGCTGCCAACACAGCTCTGCAGGATGAGATGGCAGAAATGCCCACACCCCGCCCGCCTCCCGCTCATCCTTATCACTTTTCATTCTCTTGCTCATTAAATCCTTTCCCCTCACTCTGGTGAGCCACTATCCCAGCAGCCCCACAAAGTCCTGAGTGGTCTATACACAGAGCTGCGTGCTGCAGGTGCACATAGCAGTTGAAATAATGTGAGAGATTCACAGGGCCTTGGGCAGAGCCCTCCAGGCCCAGTGCTGGCCACTATTTCAGGTTGTTGTTGATAACCACGCTGTCATTCATGTCACAGTAAGTTGCCATCTTCTTCCTCTTGCCAAAGGTGGAGAAGCTGTTCTTGTTCTCCCGGCCCAGGAAGAGTGGCCCGTCTTTGCTGGAAAGCAGAGTAGGGGTGCCAGGGATGTAGACATTGTGCTGATAATCCAGGTCTGGATTGTGATCTGGGTACAAGGGGCTGTACTGGGGTGTCCAGATGCTGTTGGTGCCTGCTGAAGCCTTCTGAAACTCTGGAGAAAAGATGAGCATGAGACTGGCTCACGGGGAGGTCACATCCATAGCTCAGTGGGGCACAATCACATCCTTGTCCCAGAGTGCAAGCCCGTGGCCGTGTGTCACCAACTTCCCTTCTGGAGCCTGGACATCTCTTCCACCCCACAAAACTCTACCACTACTAGGAACAGGGATGTGTCCCCACCACTGCACCACCACCAAGTGACAAGAGGGTCTGGTCTTTCCAGCCCCAGCAACCCAATACTAACCAGAGACAGGGGTCACCAGTGTGCACAGCCTCTCGTGCTCCTTTTGGAGGGCTTTGCGGATTTCCCCCACATCCTCCATGCTCTGGGAGCTAAAGACAAGAGACCAGTTCAAAGCTGAGTTGGACATAACTTCCCCATCCCCACACCCCCCCTTCCACCCACTCCCTCTGTTCCCACGGGGCTGGATTTGGTACCTCTTCAGGGCAGGTCGCTGTGTGCTTGGAGGCAGCCAGTCCATGTTGGGCTGCTTGATCTGGAAAACAGAGGGAAGGGCAAGGCTGGTTATGAGGACACTCTGTTAATCAGCCCAGGGACCCTCTGTTAATTAGCCCTGTCCACACCAGGCTTCAGTTACTCAGGGATACAAGACTCCATCTCCTCCTTTATGGAGAAGCAAACAGCACATTACTATTTTAGTGAAACTGAGGCAGCGCTGAACCAGCCTTTTCCCTTTTGGACCTTCCCCACCCTCCTGAGACATCGGAGTTGCCTGGGGCTTGCTCTCCATCTCTGGGAGTTTAATTGCCAAGGTTTGTCCTTCCAGGGAGAGAGAAGGGCTTTTCCTATTTCTGTTAATTTTAAAAAGCCTTTTTTTGCATGTGGGATGGTAGCTTAGCCCAGATCTCAGACAGCAAAGGGTGAGAGGTGTGGAAATTGGCAGCGTACCCAGTGTCTCAAGGGGGTTGCAAACAACTAGGGGAAAATCCCATTAAGGTATTAAAGAAGTGAGTCCAGTCGTGCAAGAAGACGTGTGAGGAGAGCCTCTTGGTAGCGAGTCTTGGGCTCTCCTTAGAAGGGTTGTTTTATTAAAAGTCAAACGAAAGTGGATTATACACCTCGTCACTCTCCATCCTTGTAATTGCGTTTCAGAGGGATTCTTTCATTGGGAAAATTAGACATTCCACCTTTCAAGACCTAACAAATGTTGACATCAAAATCCCACCCCAAAGACCCCACCTCCCTCCCTGCTGGCGCAGCCCAGTGCAGCCCAGAGGCCAGGCCTGGGTGCCAAAACTGGGGACACGAGTGATGCTGGTGGGGCCAGGACCAGCCCTGGATGCAGCAGCAGGACACTGTGGAACCCCGCCGGCATGGGAGAAGCAGAGCGGCAGTGATGTTCAGGCTGCCCCAGTGTGAATTGCTCACCCACATGAAGGAGATGCCACCCCACCACCACCCTACCTTCCCCAGGGCACTAGAGCACCTCCGTTGCCTCTAACGGGTGCAAAAGGCATTGGCATTATCAAGCCTGCCACCCCCCAAGCAATTAGACCCGTTGTGAAACTCAGTGGAGAGTTTCCCACTGCCTGATGGCTCCTAATTTCTCCACTGACCAAAGGTGACAGTTATTCTCTGGGAAAATCCTTGCCTGGTTTCTCTCATGGCAGAGGCTGCAGGAGGGGGCTGGGGGTGCCTGTGGAGCACCAGTAAGCACCACTAGGCATGGCATTACCTGTTTTGAGACCTGGAGATGCTGGCCTGCTTGGGACCGCTTCCCGGGGTCCTTCTCATTGTTCCAGGGTGGGCTGCAGGGTTTGAGGAACATGAAGTCGCTCTGGGCAGACTCAGGGCCAAGGCAGACCTTGTAGCAGTAGCCCGGGGGGCCACCCCCGGGTACGTCAAGGCAGGTGGCAGCCGTGGTCCCTGTGGGGGGCTGCGTTGCCAGGTTGGATGTCTTCAGGCCATCAGGGGAGGGTCTGGACCTGGGGCAGCAGTGGCAGCCACCACCTTGACGGGAGCGCCGCTCTCCATGGCACCGAATGGCTGTGAGGATGAGGATGGCGAGGAGGAAGGTGAAGGAGATGGAGCCCAGGGAGACAAGGAGGTAAATGGTGAGTGGGGAGAACGAGGAGGCCTCTGGGGGGAGGCTGAACTCGCTGAAGTCAGAGAGAGTCTGCGGCATGGTCTCCACCACTGAAAGCAGAAGGGACACGGTGGCGGAGAGGGCTGGCTGCCCGCCATCACACACCTGCACCACCAGCCGCTGTCGGGTTGCATCCTGCTCCAGAAAGGAGCGGAGGATGCGCAGCTCACCCGTGTCCGGTGTCACGCTGAAGAGGGTGAAGTCAGTGGCCTGGAGGAGCTGGTAGGAAAGGCGAGAGTTCAGCCCCGTGTCCGCATCCACTGCCGACACCGTGCCCACAAGGTAGCCAGGCCCAGCTGATCGCGGCACCAGTTCGGTGGCCACGGAGCCATTGCGCGGCATGGGAGAAACGATGACTGGAGCGTTGTCATTCTGGTCCAGCACGAAGATGTGGACGGTGACGTTGGTGCTGAGTGGGGGGAATCCCGCATCCTGTGCTTGCACCTGAACCTGGAAGCTGCGGATCTGCTCGTAGTCAAGGGAGCGCAGGGCATACATGTGCCCGCTGTCTGAGTTGATAGACACATAGGTGCCCACAGGCATGCCGTGGATGTGCCCGTCAGCAATGGAGTAGGACAGGTAGGAGTTTTGTTGGCAGTCAGGGTCCAACGCGCTGACGGAGCAGATGGAGGCACCGGGTGCGTTGTTCTCCATCACGTAGACACTGTAGGAGGGCTGGAGGAAGCGTGGGGCATTGTCATTCACATCGGACACCGAGACGGTGAGGGTGCTGCGGGTCAGCAGGGCGGGGGACCCCATGTCCCGTGCTGTGATGCTTACGTTGTACTCGGACACAACCTCCCGGTCCAGTGCCTGCGTGGTGACCAGGGTGTAGTAGTTGCGGAAGGAAGAGCGGAGTTCGAAGGGTACATCGGCGCTGACCTCGCAGCTTACACGCCCATTGTCCCCGGAGTCCCGGTCCAGAACGCTGATGACAGCGATGACGGTGCCCAGTGGGGCATCCTCCAGCACGGGTGTGGACACAGAGGTGAGGGTCACCTCTGGCGCATTGTCATTCACATCTAGGAGGTGCACAAGCACCCGGCAGTGCACGGCCACAGCAGAGGGTCCACGGTCCTTGGCTTGCACGTAGAGCTCGTGGAGGCTTGCCCGCTCATAGTCTAGAGGGCCCTTCAGCAGCACCTGGCCACTCCGGGGCTCTACGTGGAAGAGCTCCCGGACGCGTGGCGGGGCGTGCCCACTGAAGGAGTACTCAATCTCCCCGTTGGGGCCCTCGTCCAAGTCAGTGGCATTGAGCTGGATGACCAGGGTGCCAGCAGGGGCATCCTCAGGCAGGCTCACGCCGTACGAGGGCTGGTCAAAGGCAGGCACGTTGTCATTCGCGTCCAGAACCGTGACGAGGATGTGAGCTGTTCCTGAGCGCTCGGGGACGCCGCCGTCGAGAGCGGTGAGCAGCACCCTGTGCGCGCGTTGCTGCTCGCGATCGAGGGCACGCTCCAGCACCAGCTCCGCAAACTTGCTGGCATCACTGCGTGTCTGCACTTCGAGTGAAAAGAAACCATTGGGGCTGAGGCGGTAGGTGTGCACTGAGTTGGTCCCCACGTCAGGATCCTGGGCACTCTCCAGTGGGAAGCGGGCACCGAGGACGGCGGACTCGGACACCTCCAGCACATACTCTTGCCAGGGGAAGGTGGGCGTGTGGTCGTTGATGTCCAGCACCTCCACCTCGACACGGTAGAGCTCCAGCGGGCTCTCGACGAGGAGCTGCAGGTGGAGCAGGCAGGTCCCCCCGGCCTCACACACCTCCTCCCGGTCAATCCGCTCGTTGACGAAGAGGATCCCGTTCTCCAGGTTCACCTCCAGGTGCTGCCTGGCCCCAGCCCGTGACACGATGCGGAACCGCCGCGCCGACAGCGTGGACACGTCCAGCCCCAGGTCCTCACCCAGGTTGGCCACGAAGGCTCCGTGCTCCAGCTCCTCCGGCACGGTGTAGCGTAGCTGCCCGCCCGCCGGGCGCCACGCCGGGGGCCCGGCCAGGAGGAGGATGAGGAGGGAGCGGAGGAAGAGCTGCCCCCGCCCGCAGCCTGTCCCGGCCCCCATAGCCCCGCAGCCCACTCGGGGACGCCGCGTCCCCCCTCGCCTTCGCTCGCCCCTCGCACTTTCAAAGAGTTTCGAGCTCCCGGGGGGGGGGGGCGGGGGAGGGCCCTGCTCGGAGCTGGGGTGCCGAGCGTCCGCTTAACCCTTTCCCTGCTGGCGCTGGGGAGGGGATGCAATCCAGCTCTCGGTGCCACACCGGAATCGGTCTCCCGGAGCCGGATGCACCTAGGGAAGGGGCTGGCCCCGAGGAGGTCCCGTTAACGGCAGTAGGACCTCCAGAGATACCGATCGCTTCCCGGGGCACCGGTATTACCCCGCAGACGCTGCGCTCGTCCCCGCGGTAGATTAAGAGGAGCCCAGATCGCAGCGGCTGCCAAATCCTCCGGCCGCGGCCCCCGCCGTGCCAGTCCTAACCTTTACCAGATGGTTAAGCCCCTCCAGACTTGATTACATTTCCCTGCACACCGTTTTCCTTGTAATGCGGAGTTTTTAATTACCGGAGCAGGGAGGATTACAGCCCTGGATAAAGCTGAGCCCATCCGCGCGTTGGCACAGAGAGACACCCCCACTCTCCTTCCCTTGCCTGCTCCCACCCCCGACACCCCTCCTGCCCACAGCCCCGCGCCCCTAATCCCGGTCTCCCACCGAGGACACCCAGTGCCAGCCCCCTCGGGCTCTCGGGGTACAATCCCGTCGGAGAACCCCACGATCTGCGCGCTCCCCGGCAGCTCCCCCCGCGGGCACAAACTTTCCACCCCCCGCGGAAGGCGAGGGGGAGGTGGGCGCAGACCGAGCCTCGGGTTCCTCCCCCCCTGCCCCCGGAGAGGGACAGACGGACCCCGCTGCGACACCCCCCCCTCCCCGCGTCCCCCCTCCCCGCCCCGGTACCGATCACGGTCCCTCCGCTGGCCGATCCGTTCTCCCCGCAGACCGGTCTCCAGCCGCCGCCGCGCCCGGGCGGCTCCGCGCGTCGCCTCCCACCGGCTCCGTCCCCGGGGGCGCTCGGTAACGGGACGGGACGGCCGCCCCCCCCCCCGCCCCGCGGCTGCTTAGGGCGCGGATAATCCCCTAACGATCTAGTTAAGGGCTCGGCGGGGCTCGGAGCGGCTTTAGCCGTGCAGTGATATTTCACCGCCTTTGTCTCCTGGTCCCCGGTGGGAAGGGAACAGCCGGCCCCAACCGCCGCGCCCCCCTCACCCCCCGCCGCTCCCCACGGGGACCCGCGTGGGAGGCAGGATCCAGGGCCGACCGGGAGACCGGAGGAAGCAGGAGGCGGCGGGGCTGGGGGGGTTCGTCAGGCTGGGAAAAGGGGATTTGGTCCCTGGGAGGGCAGCGCGACCCACGCAGGACGTGCCGGGCTCGTGGAGCCGCCGGTTAGGGAGAGTCGCGGGCAAGGGCGGGGTGGAGCCGCGGGGCGCGCAGGTGGAAGGAGCGGCGCGGCGGGGTCACGCGTGGGCTCTGGCCGCTCACGGGTGGAATCGGGACGGCTCCCGGTAAGTGAAACCCAGGCTGCATCGGAAGCGCCGATCACGGCCAGCCCGGCCCCCGCACCATCACCCACGCCAGGGCCACCCCTGCCGTCGTCGCTGTCCCCCGCCTCCCTGCCCCGACCTGTTTCTTTCTCATTCCACAATCCTCATCCCCACCCCCCCATCTCCGCTCTGCCCCCTCTCCCCGCCCTGCATCCCTGGGCTGGGACCCCCGGGGGTGGGATGCCTGGGATCGGGCTGCTCCGGGAGCCCCCCGAGGGCTGCTCAAGCCAGAGGGGGATTTGCGGGGGGCACACCGGATGCAGAGATTTTCGGGGGTCTTATTTCCCTCCCTCCAGACCTTCCCCTTCTCCGACCAAGTGCGTTCCGGGAAATCCTCGGAGCGGCTCTCGTCCTTTTGTTCGATTTAGATTAAAATATTCAATCTCCTCCTCTCCTCCCCGGGTGCAACCCGCTCCCGGCAGGAGCTGTGCCCCCCAGGGCCCGCTGCCCTTTTCCCCGCCTCCCCCACCCCCCCAGTCGTCCCCCCCCCCGTCCCCCCCCCGTCCCCCGCAGCTCTCTATCACCGCTTTCTTGGAAGGGGGGGAATTCGTGTGCCTGTCCGTCCCCCCTCCTTGCTTCCCTCTTCTAAGAGAGGTCACACGATAGTCCCATCCTGTTCCTTTTCCTCACCTCCCCAGACCCTGGGGTTGCTGCCTGCCCTGCCAGACCCCACAGTTCCAGTGGACCAAGGTCAAAAGTGGGGGGCTTGAGAGGGGGCACAAGATTGTTTTGAGGAGCTTTTTCCTGAAAGAAATGGCACAGACTGGGGGAGGCTGGGGATGCTGCACAGGGATAGGGGATCCCAAAAAACCCCTTATTTGGGGGACCATAGCAGAGGAGGGTAAACAGCAGGATGGGGAAGATGGCATGGGGGCAGTCCAGCTAACACCCCACTTCACATCTTGTAGATTTTAAGTCCTCTTATGATGCAGGGTAGTGTTCAGCTGCCAGCCCTGTTCTCTCAGGGTAAGGAATCAGGACGCAGCTAGAAGCTTGGTTTTGGAAGACACTGGAAGCTAGAAGGGCTCTGTGTGTGTGTGTGTGTGTGTCCCTGTGAGATGTCTTGGCACAGGCGGGCAGGTGGCCGGTTGCTGCTGGTAAGCACTGATGTGCCCTGGCAAGGCCAGCCGGAGAGCTCAGGGGATGTAGCAGGAGATGCCGCAGGTTAAGCCACCTTGGAAAAGCCACGGAGAGAGCAAAGGGTTGGAGGACCATCACCCAGCTGCCTGCAGGCACCAAACCTTGCCCAGCCACCACCGTCACTCCATTTTCCCATCCGTTGTGTTCTGGGGCAGCAGAAGGGTCTGCCAGAAAAGCTGTCCCTGCCAGACCACAGATCCCTTCCCCCAGCTCCCCGAGGCACCCGTCTGCCCAGCCATGCATGTGGGTTTGCTGCTCCCTTCTTGCTCAAAGCGAGAGCAGTTACTGTCTGCAATGACCAAGAGGGCAACCACAGTGGGAAGGGGGGGTGTCTCCTGATTGAAGATGAGAGCAGCCCTGGCCCCGGGGCTGCTAAGTCACTCCCAGGTTGCTTGTGCAGGGTCAGGTGCTGGGGGCTCGGTCTTTGAAGCCACAGAGCTCCTTGCCCTGATCAGTGCTCCTGCCCCTCTGAAGCATTGGCTCCCTGCCCTCCCTTGGGAGGAAAAACCAGTGCCCTGAAGGGGATGGTGGCCTTCCTGGTGTGTTTATCAGGGCTGTTGGGGCACTCTGCCTGCCTTTAGGTGCTGGGATGCAAAACATGAAACATGCTCCATCTCCTTGCAGAAGTGCACAGGGACAGGATGAGAAGCTATGAGAATAAGCTGGAGAAGGGAAATTCTTGTTAGATATTAGGGAAAAAAAATCTTCACTGTGAGGGTAGTAAACCACTGGCACAGGGACCAGACTGGGGCAGGAAGTGCCGTCCTTGGAGAGCCTCCTGAGCAACCTGACCTACCAGCCCTGCTCTGAGCAGGGATGTACCAGGGACCTCCAGAGCTCCCAACTAATCTAAACTGTTGTGTGATTTGGAAAGCCCCCATCTTTAGCAACCCACGCTGAGCAGAGGTGAAGTGGTCACTGAGGTAAGGGAGCTGGCTGCTCAGAGAGCCTTGGTTTCAAGAGAACGTGGGTCCTGTGTTTGTCAAGAATCCATTTATTTTCACAGACACCTTGCCCAGAGGCGGGGTATGGAGCAATGAAGGATGCTGGGGCTCCATTCCCACTGGAAGTCCCAGTGCATAGGCTCTGTCCTGCCAGGTGCTTGAGTTGCTCAGCACTTTCATATTCCGTGGCAGAAGTGCAGGTAGACCTTTTGCACCAGGCAGGTTTAGACCTCGGGTGTGTCAATAAAGTTTTCTTGAAGTTCCATGTAGTCTGTAGGTGAGAAGAAGATGTAGCTGAGGTGACCAACTCAAGGGCCACTACTGGTAGAGTAAATTGGATTCTTTTGGCCAGCAACACATAGGAACAAACCCCCAACCACTCTGCCTGGGACAGATGGAGGCTGAGACATGGGCTCAGCCCTGATCAGACCTTCTGTAGCCATCAACTATTTTTGAGCATTTTCAGAACCTGGGTGAGCCAATTCTGGCTCCCGGTAGGACACACACTTCACTGGCAGCTCAGAAAGCCAAAGTCTCTGCTCCTGCTTCAGAATGAGGGATTTTCTTGCAAGCCCAAGCCTGCAAAAGGAGCTGCTTTCATGTCTGGTGTCTTGTTCCTCTTGAAGTAAGAGACCTTGGACCCAAATCAGAAGAAGGCCTGTGTTCCTCCTGAGTGCAGGGAATTGTACTGCCTCGGTCACCATGTTAGAGCCTCTTCTCTAAAATGTCCTGTAGGAATGTCTCCTCTCCTTTGGGAAAGACTGAAGAGAAAGGGGAGGTCAGTAAGCAGGAAAGTAAGGGTGGGCAAAGGTGTGATGCTTGCATGGGGGGGAAGCAGAGGCTTTGGGAGCTAGGAGGTAACACCTCTCCCCTGTTGGGCACCAGTGTGACTGGTCTTGGAGTACTGTGCACAGCACCTGCACCTGAAGTTTTGAAAGAAGATTAAAAAACTGATTTAAGGCTTTGAAAAATACATTACAGGGAGAAGTGTAAGCGAACTTGCCTGAACTCTGTGCAAAAAGAAGCCAGAAGACACTTGATGCTCGGGCCAAGGAGGTGTCACAAGGAGGAAAAGCCGGGGATGACAGGACAGTTAAAGGCATGCAGACCCACGGCTTGATCCAGGCAGCTTCACACGTTGGACAGCGAGAAGCGATCGAGCTGTCAGAACTGTTGATGGTGTCTATGTTTCCTGGTGTCTGCAGATCCATGTGGAACAGAAGATGTGGGGTCATCAAGCCCAAGTTCCCCAGTATATCTTAGTGAAATGGGAAGACTGGCCCTGGGGACAGGCGTTCCGATTCATCTCACCTTCTCCAGCAGAGAAACCACTGCAGCTTGCCCCTCCATGTGGGTAAGCCTACAAGCAGTTGATTTGCTCTTTCCTATGAGAAGAAGGTCCTGTAGCCACAAGGAAGTATATTGTCAGCTCCCAAAGGGATCCAGAGAAGGGGCTATAATCCTCACATAACACTAACAACTTCCCTTGGCCTCTCCTCTCCTCAGGCAACATGCTAAATAACAGCTGGAAATGTTGGAGTTGGGGCCCCAACAAGGAGGTCAAGGGGCAGGAGTTGGGGTGGGTGTTTCCTTGTCTTTTCCCCATACACATCTCCTTGCATCAACACCCAAACAAAAAATGGGTGCCTGCATTTCACTTTGAAGTCCCACATCCCTGGGATAGGTTGGTGGTTTCACAAAGGAAAAGTAGAAAAAGACACATTCTCTTTTGTCCCCATTTCTGGTTTTTAGACACTTGCTTCTGTGGAGCCATCCTGGATTTCTGGGGATGCATCTCAGGAGAAGAAATTCCAGTTTCCAGTCCTGGACAGATATGAGGGTGTTCCCCAATTCCCCTTTCCTCCCTTCACTTAATTTTGCTGTCCCCATTCCCAGGATAGGGACCACCTCTACCTTCCGGCCCTCCCCTCGCCCCTGCCAGGGACTGTGTGGCCCCCTGAGACACTCCTCAACATCCCCATCTGCTCCCGGGAGCTTTGCAGATCCTCCAGGTCTCCCTTTTCTCCCCCACCAGCCCTACTTCTTTCCTCTCTGTCTGGGAGATCAGTCACTGAGGGTGTCGACACACACGCACCCGACTCCCCGGGGAGGATGGGGAGCATGGAGCTGGGGGTGGTGTTCTGCTGTGAGAAGGCAAAGCTGCCATCAGCAGGCGCTTTGATCTACAGACAATTACAGACGACTGTAGGACCTTGCTCAGCTCAGCCAATAAATAATGGAATTTGTGTGTTGACACAGACAGATTTCCCCCAAACTGTCAGAGAAGGGGAAACAGAGTGAGCGAAGGGGAGCCTGCGTGGCTGAAGGGGAGAGGAGCAGGCAGGGGAAGGGATGAGGAGGGCTTGTGGGAAAACAG